AGCCAAGTGTGTGCCCCTACGATCATTCGACAGGCTTGAATGCCAAATATCGTGTGCGCATTAAAGTCGCCAACTACCATACGGTTTTCACGGATGGTATCCCTTCGGTCGATGTCTCTTCGATAAGACGATACTGCACAGTTTGGTGCGTGATGAATGCTAAGCCAACACCATTATCTCGTTCGCGATTCAACAGAGTTGAATTGTTGTGCTACTTCGTCTCTTGGACCGCAGCTATCAATATACCATGCCGACACATGAAGACGGTTATCTCCTCAATCTTGCTCTGTAGCCCGTTGCAGTTAAATTGAAGGAGCTTCATGTGGTTCGGGAGACGTGTCGTGAGATGGGGGACGTAAGAGATGTGTGTGTTCTTACCGCCGTTGGCTGTGTGCGCTGCTGTGATGGTTGCCGCCCTGTGGTGGTGGCGGGAAGCATCGCAGTTGAGGTCTGCGACCGAGCAGCGCAACACGGGCCCTCGAAGTTCCCCGTCCAATCTCGCGTGGTACGCAGGCCTGAGCATGCCCTAAAGCGGCACCAGCCAAGGCAGGTGTTGCACTTGATTGATGTCGCGTTACGGAATATCCTGGTCTGACATACCGTGCAGATTGTAGGAGGAACCAGGAGTTGTTGGCGGCGGCGTGTGGGTAGTGGTGCGGTTGTGTGTGTTCTGTGGTCTGTCGTGGCTGTGGTATGGTCTGTGTTGTTATTATGTTGTTGTGCTGTGGCGCTTGTGTGAGGCTGATCAGGTGGACTAAGGTTAGCCGTGGAGGCTGCTCTGTTTGAGCAGCAGGTGGCCACGTACGACGTGGTCCACTGTCGATGTGTCCGTAGTCCTGAGCAGACTCTAAGGTGACTCCACCCCTCGCAGGCATTACACTTGACTGAGGTGGAGTTGTGGTGTAGTCGTCTCTGGCATACACAGCAGGTGTAGATTTCTGGCCCTGGGTTTAACTCGATGCCAGCCATGAGTAGAAGAATACGTAGTGAATGTAGCCCTATGGACGAACAACTTCTGAGATACTTCGCCGACCTAAACGGGGTTAGATCGCCGAACCAACAGCCCTTGGTCGGATAAAACCCGAGTCATTCCGGTACGTAGAACCGGCTGTCGTGGGAACGGCGTTGCATAATAGGGGTGTCGGACTCATGTACATATGTATGTACAACTTCTCCAGGGAAACATAACAGATCCATAATGCTAGCGATTTTATATTGATCCGCTTTTGCGTTGCATATTTTTAGGTACGTATGTTATTGACTTTGAGATTTTTAGCAATAGAAATTTAGCACGGTGATTTCTAGAATCCCATTGCAGTTAAACCCATTCACACTCAGAAAAAGGTTTAGTTATAATTACCAAGATTTGGTTATAGTGACCAAGTGGCATAGTTGGATATGGCGAAATAAATATCTAGTTCACGAAAGTCTGCAATTTACTTGAGACTTCTAGTTGGGACAAATGTATATTTGTTAATAATTACAAAACGACTACCTTGAGTGGACAATATTGTTAGTTGAATAAAATCATTGCTGAGCAAATATAAACAATGCTTTGGTTGATACAAGTTTTCAATTAAAATTGTGAACTTGCTGTAGACTTGAATCAGCATACCCTTTATTATTGGAAAAAAAGTTTCAGTTTGACACAAAACAAAATTTACTCGATGGTTGTTGTGTTTACTTTCTTCTTTTATTTGCATTTATTAAGCATAAAGAATACATACATATTTACATAAATAGCTACTAGTGTAAATAATACATATCTATATGGTGGTAAGAATTTCCTAAAAAGAAACGATTAAACAGGAACAGTCGTCCGAAAACCCAGGTCAATATCTGCTGGAAGTGCTGGTTTAAGTACACTGCTTTGCTTTTTCCATGGCTAAGTAGATACTTTCAAATTATAATTCCCATGAATTATATATTCACTGCGAAACCCCGGTTGGCATCAAACTTTATATTTTTAAATAACTATGCGCAACAACTCGCGGCGATGGCAAAACTGAAACTGAGACAAACAAGTCTGGGCATGTCGTAGCACACACTTTTCTTTCTCTACCTAGCGCAGTGATCGACATGCCATAGCTTACTGAGCGCTGTGTGACCACTCGCGTGTTTCACCAATATACGACGTATACAGTCTCATTCATTGAATCGTTTCGCATTCAAACGATTCAATAAGTAGGACTGTGTGCATTGCTCAGCTGGCGCTCTTCGTATGTGAAACGCTCATGTGCTCAGAGAGGGCTCAGCATTATTTACGGGTGGCTCACAAGCAGTGTTGCCACAAAAAAATTACCAAATTCCTCAAAAACAAATGAAAAATCCTCAAAATCCGAACAAGTTACTCAAAATTTTCTTATTACATATATGAGTGTTGTGTACTGCATACTATTTACGGGTACTCAGTATAAAAATTAATTACATTCTCCAATTCAATTGGTACATTTGTTTCTTTTTTTCCTATAATTTTCTGGATCTAATGAAGAATCAATATGAATATCCTTATGATCGAACAATGTGTGTTCTCTCCATTCGGTCCCGATATTTTGCAAGTTCAAAATACATAAGTTGAAAAGATAACGATCGAATGAAAAACATTATCGATAACATTTTGAATATTTAGCAGCAAATGAAGATTTGATTAAGAGCGAAACACACCACACAAGCGGCTTGACAAACCAAGCGAGCAAGCAAAGGGATATTGCTTAAAGCTATTTATGTCGTGTATGGGGGTGTTTGAAGGTTTGACAAGCCGTTTGAGGGAAATGTGAACAAAAATCAAAATTTTTTGATTTTCTGGCCGCCATGTTGACGTTTGATCAAACCGCTTACATTTTTATTGATAAAATCGCCTCATTCGTAATAGAATTTTTACCGAATGAGGACGCAAGAGAGAAAAATCGAAGAAAACCAAACCCTTTTACATTGTGAACCGGAATAAAACTAAAATTCTTTGCTTGAACGAGTCATGTTTGCATGGTGTATTGCGACATGGGAAAGTAGTTTTGAAGAATGTTTGACAAGCCGCTTGTGTAGTGTATTTTGCTCTTTATAAAACTGCGAAAAACTTTTTGTTCAAAAATTTGCAGAGCGAATTAACAAATCTGTTGTGTATAACATGGTTGCATTTGTTATCTGCAAATATATCGAGAGAAATTCCTGAAAAATTCCTCTAAATAAAAATCCTCCAAAAATACTCAAGCGCACCCGAAATTCCTCACGTTTTGAGGAATTACTCACAAAGTGGCAACACTGCTTACAAGCATGAATATGTTCCGCTCTCAAACCAAATCGTGGTTGCCTCAAATAAGATTTGGTAACTATGACTAAACCATGTCCTGAAAGAAAGGTTATCTGTGTTAGTAGAGCTTAATGACATCCTTTTATGAACCATACGTTAAGTTGAATGGAATTTGTAGAAATATGCTTCAAAAAAATATTTATTAGTATTTACCAAACCCTTCAACTAAATTAACGATTTGGTATAACCTAGATTAATATTAGAAGCTTCAATATATTTAGTTATAATTACCAACCCATGGTAATAGTTCCCAATCCTTGGTAACAGTTCCCGAATATTGTCAAAATTCGGGAACCAAATATCTGTAGCTGTCGAAACTAATCCTTTTTCTCGGTGCAGGTAATGTTTAAAAATGTTGGTGCAGTACAAAATGAAGGGGTGAGCTCAATTTTCGAAAAGAAAACTGTGTCTTTTATAACGCTGAATGCCTTTGAACGTAGAAAATATTAGGCGTATTCTCCATATCTCTCTCTTATCCATACAAAACTATCAAGCAGAAAAGTTCTCCGAATTCAGCAGCATTCGCTCTCAAAGAGACAAAATAACCACTAAATACGAGAACGCAAAATTTGCAAACTTCGAAACAGCTTGCACAATTGTCCCAGGTGGTTTTTCTCAAAATTGAATCTCCAAATATCCATACTTGTTCCACAAAAATTTAGTAGATATAGATACTTTTAAAATTATAGTATTTTCATTTCAATAATCAACTTACTCGCAACTGACCAATTTGGTCTAAAACTTCGGTATATTTTAACGAAAAATGTCATACGGCAACCATAGTTAGCACACACTAATAGAAGAAAACTGGAGATAAATAGTAAATTAATTAAAAATAAACTCAACAATCCTTGGAATTAATAATTTTATTTTTTTCATTGAATATTTACTATTAATAATTATAAAATTTGCAATAAATAGTTCCCAAAGCACATATTTTCTTTTGCTTATTCAAGAACATATGTTCGTGGTCAGCTGATTTTCATATTTATAAGTTTTCGCAGGTAAAAACATTTGCAGCAGAAATTTGCAACTGAGTAAAATTTTCCAAGTGGGCCACTCAAAAGTGAGTTTTGGAATGCCATGTACCTTTGGATTGTTATTGATAGTTTAAGTGATGTAAAAGAAGTAGTTTTGGGAAATATTATTTTTATTATTAGTTATAAACAATTGAAATTTTCGAACAACGTTTTTTATTTTGCCAATATCTTTGTCAATACTTGACGGAAATAAGTAATTTTACATTCTATATTTTCGTGAATGTTTAGCGCATCAAATGCAAATTTTTAAATAATAAACAAATGCAAAATAAAAAAGACCATTGTTCATATATTCATTATAAACATTTCAACGAAAGAAAATGTTTGCTAAGTATAAATGCGCAAATGCGCCGAGCGTTTGGTTGTTGACATTCGAGCGCTAGAATTCGCGGGGCGCCGCTCAACGGCAGGTCGTGACATGTCTGTGCTCGCGTTGACGCAGTTCGGATCATCGCATATTTACTGTCATTCTGAGGTTCAAAAGGTCAATTCAAAAGATGGCGCCTCCTCCAAAATGTTGTAACCCTTTCGGGAAAACAGGGCATGCTAATTTTCGGGAAAACCTAACGTTACTAAAAAGTAAATGTGATGCAAAATTAAGTGTTTTGATCGGACTGCATGTTTGCCGTAAATGTCAAACGGAGATATACAAGTTATGTCAACGCGGGTTGACTTAAACAAAAAAATATATTTTTTGGGGAGCTAAAGGCTCCTTTATTGATTGAATTCCAACTTAGAACTAATTTACAAAAATAATTATTTCCTAAACCTAGCTTACGCTGCTGCCGCTTCTGCCGTTGGTTCTGCTGTTGTTTTGCTGACGGCGCGGTTCCCACCGATCGCCGCATTCCTTCTTGTTTGTATGTTAGGTGTTCTATTGCTGATGAAATTAGCTTGCCGTTTTGCTGATGGCGCGGTTCCCACCTGCATTCCTGTTTGTTTGTTAGGTGTTGTATTTCTGATGAAATTAGTGAATGCAGGTATGTGCAACAGGGTGTCGTTTTGCACTTAGGAATTTTGTTGTCAAACCTAAGTTTTGTGCATGCGCCATGCTAACAGCTCCCCCCCTGAAATTCAAACGTCCGCGTTTGAAGTGCTGGGTTTTGCAAATATCTGGTTAATCCCTTCTATTGCTGTTTCGGTTAATTCGATGGTTGGTTTTTGATCGGTATTTTTCTTCGACCATATTTTTCGCGTAATTATTACGCTCAGAATTAATAGAATTGTGATAAGGCTAATGTAAACGGCGTGCTTTAATTGACTTGCCGATTCCGCGTAGCCAATTTGTTTTATATTGTTCAGGTTGAGCTGTTTTAGCATTTGTAAGGACAATATTTCTTCGGTATTGTTAGTTTTTGAAAAAGGTTGAAGTATAGCTGGCAGGGGATTGCTAGTTAGTCTGGCCTTGTTGGAAAATTCGTTTCCATTAATTTTTACTGTATCATTGTCGTAATGAATTAGAAAGGTACCGTTCAGGGGTATGGGGTCCCCATCAATTTGGATCTTTCCTTCGAAATTGTTCAAAAATATAATATCTGGTGCTATCTCTTCTATTTCAGGGATGTGCTGGCTGTTGGTTACGGTGCAGTTTGGCGGGCGGCTTCTTAACAAGCTACTTATACAGTTATCCCTACTTATATCTAATACACTACTTCTAACACATATTTGGAGCGAATTGTATTTTTTACAGGGTTTTAATATGCCATACAGGGTTTTCTCGCAATCTAGTAATGAGTTGAAATTAATTTTGTTAATGGTATTATTTTTCTTAACCGCTCTTATGTCTATTGATTTACATATTTGGGGTCCTACTGTGGGTAAATTTATTATGTAGATTATTAATTTACTATTTGTGGCTACCTTTACTTCGGAAAATTCGAGAGCCTCATCCAAGTTAACAAAAGGAATATCGTCTTTTTCAAAAATTTGTTTAGCGATATCTATTTCTTCTCTTGACATAATGTAAGAGTTTATTATATTGGCCTTTGCCCAATGTATCGCGTAGGCGATATTTACTATTTCTTCTTTTAAAATTTCCAATTTATATTTCAGTCTAAGGAATGCTTCTACTCCCTTGTTCTTATCATTTTGCAATTCTTTAGTGATATGATTTGTAATATTTGTAATTTCATTTATTCTCTCAATTGTAAGTTTATTGATAAGGATCTGATTGTTATTATTTTCGAGGGCATTGTTCAATTTATTTACGACTATTTCATGATCCTCGTGATCCGGATTTCCGGCAATCCATTTCCATGCACTGCCAATGAAATTAAGGGATCGTTTGGATCGGCTTTCTATTTTCAAATTACTCAGGTGAATCCGTATTTGGGATATAAGGAGGGATATGAATGGGTAATTTGGATTCTTGGAGAGCTCTTCCATATGTGCCCTGGATTCGATGTCTTCCAGGATGTAGTTGTATTTGTCTATGTCAATTTCATGTATTATTCTAAATGTTCCAGTTTGTAGTTTGGCTGTCCCTCTTTCTATCGTAACTAGTTGCGCGTTAGAATAGTCAAGTATCCTTACCTCGGCGAGGCACAGTCGCACCAGTAACAGTCTGAAATGAGATATGTCAAAAAGCGTTAGTTTCGTATTCTGCTCTTGTGTATGACCTGTCCTTTCTCTGTTATAACTGTACTATTCCTATCTTCCCTAACTATTTCCTTAGTATATGGTTTGCTTAGTTTAGTACCTAATCTTCTATTTTTCTTAACGTAAATTATCTGTCCTGGTAAGTATGTCTTAATTTCGTGTTTACTTTTGTTGTGGAGCTCGATGTCCTTTCGTTGTTTTTCAGCAAGTTTTTGTAAGTTGTTTTGTCGTGTCCTTTCTATGTCCTCTGGGGTGAACGTCACGTTCCTGGAAAAAAACAAGTCTACCGGTCTCTTTCCTGTGACTGTATGGATGGTGTGGTTATATTCCGAAACCGCTCTTTCCAGAAGCTCTTCGAAGTTTCTATGTCCGCCGTTTTCTTTGATGCAGCGCATTATCTCCGTCAATGTGGAGTGGAATCTCTCCACTTGTCCGTTTGCTTGACTTCTGTATGGTGGTGTAGTGTAGACTTCGATTCCCAATTCGTCCTTCATCATGAACATAATAGAGTTGGAGTTGAGTGATGGCTCGTTATCGATTACCACTATCCTTGGGACGCCGAAGTTAAACAAAATGTCCCTTAGGGGTCTCCTAACGTCTTCTATGGCTCTGCTATTCAGCATCTTTGTTACCGCGTACTTTGTGAATTTATCCAAAGCGGTCATGACCCTTTTGCCTTCTGTTAAAAAAATATCTATGTGTACTGTATGTCCCGGAAAAGTCGGCAGTGGAGTTGCTGCTAGTTTTGGCTTATTAGGGTGTCTCTCGTATTTATTTTCTTTGCACACCGTGCAGTTGGTAATGAGTCGTTTAATTTTATTTATCATTCCTGGGAAGTAGTTTTTTTCGAGGATCTGGATTTTATTCTCCTTTGCGCTCCTGTGCGCTCTCAGGTGTTCCCTTAGGATAACTTCTTCCTGTTCCTGTTCGCTGCTGATGTCGTCTACAATTTTCTGGGTGTATCTGCACTTGTAGTTGCTAAAATGTTGTGGGTAGATGATTTGGATTTTTCCCATTGTTCTTTCGCTCGTGCAAATTCCATTAATCACCGAAGGATTCAAATATCTTTTTAGTAGTTCTGTTAGGTTCTGTTCGTTAAATTGTGGTTCCTCGATTATATGTCGATGAACGGTTGGGAAGACGATTTTGAATTGATAGGATGCTGTTTCTGCTTCTTTGAGAAAAATTTGATTTTTAAAGACATTCACAGGCACCTCCGTGCATGGAATGAGGTTATGATTGGAGCTATCATCGCTATGGATGGTAGGAGTAAGTGAATTGATTTCGTTCGGTATTCTTGACAGTGCGTCTGCCACTACATTTGATTTTCCCGGCTTATAAACCAATTCATGGTTATATTCTTCTAGTATTGCTTTCCACCGTTTCATTTTACTGTTTGCGTTTTTATGGCTAAGGGCGTACGTTAGTGGTTGGTGGTCGGTGATTATTTTTACTTTTTTAGATCCGTACAGATAGCTTCTTAGCGTGTTTAGGGACCAGATTATAGAAAGCATTTCTTTTTCGTTGGTGGCGTAGTTCTCTTCCGTTTTGTTAAGTGTCCGTGAAATGAAGGTTATGGGGCGGTCGCCCTGCGACAGAACCGCTCCTATAGCAAAGTCAGAAGCATCTGTGGTAAGTTCAAATTCTTTTTCGAAATTTGGGTGGGCTAGGACTATGTCTCTTGAAATCAACGTGCTTTTAATTTTGTTAAACGCCTCTACCGCCTCTTCGTTCAACTGAATATCTATTTTTCTGGAGTTTCGTTTTGAGACGTTACCGGCATCTCCCCTAAGGAGTGCTGTTAGAGGCTTAGCTATTTTCGCATAATCTCTAATAAATCTTCTGTAATAACCCGACATGCCCAAGAAGGATCTTAGCTCCTTCAGATTTCGGGGAATGGGGAAATTCGCAACAGCTTCCACCTTTTTAGGGTTGGTTTTAATTCCTTCTGAGCTGACGACATATCCCAAGAATTCTACCTCTTGTTTGGCGAATTCGCATTTATTTAATTGCACTTTCATATTAGCGCTTTCTAAGGTTTTGAAAACCAGTTCCAGATTTTCTAAGTGCTCTTCTTCGTTTTTTCCAAAAATTATTACATCATCGATGTAAACATAGCATCGCACTCCTATGTGCTGCCTAAGGATATCGTCTAGAGCTCTCTGAAAT